TTATATTTTAACGAATAGTATTTGAATAAAAACATTTACTCGGGTAAAACCCGGGCGTTGCCCGGGTCATTCGGCTAGTATATTAATAAAACTCATTAGAAATATATTGGAAAAATTCACTTCAGCGAGGTCAAGATCTTCCACCAGTGGAAGAGCGAAATTGAACTAACAAAATTATATATATTTTTATCGATATTAAAACACTATATATATTTTTGGAGGAGTTTCAGGTTTAATCCGTTCAGCTCTAAATGAAATTCCCCCTTTTTTTCAATATATCATATATATATATATACACGTATATATCGTCGCGTGAAGGCATCGCGTGATCAATCAAAACAGTTTAAAACAAGAAAAGCCCTGACGAAGTTAGGCGTACAGCCTATTGAAATATTACAATTTTGTAATAAATAAAAAGTTTTGTTTTATTTTAGATCCAAAATATGCCTTTTAATATATATAAATACATGTTTATTTTCATGAGAATATATATTCTTACAAAATATTTTCGTTATTCTTTTTTTATTAATTTTAAATGAACGGAAAAATACGTCCAGGGTAGCCGAGTGGACAAGGCACCTGCCCGGTAAGCAGAAGGGTGTGGGTTCGATTCCCGCCCCTGGACACTTTTTATTTTTCCGTTCGCCATTACTCTTCATGTTTCACCTTTCCATACCTCATCCTCAAAGTTAGAAATGTCGCTATTTCTCTTTGAAAATAAATTTCGATTTTTAAAAGAAACATTCGCGGTATAATTTTAATTTTCGTTTTACAATCATCAGCCGCGTTATATTGGATATTAATTTTAAATCTCAAATTATATGTGTGTACATATTATCAAATACAAGTATCAAATTAAAATACAAATACTTGTTTATTGTGTGTTATATTTTATAATATTTAAATTATAAACAGATAGAAAATATTTAATAATTTTCACTGTATATAATTAACAGTATCTATTTTAATATATATATATTTTTAAATTGAACATAAAAATAGTGGATAGGCTTAGGTATAATTTATAAAAATGTCGAAATTATTAATAAACATTTGTGTGTGCGACCCTACAATAAAATATAAATAATATATTTAAAAAAAAAAACAAGCACGCTTTAAATTTATATTAACATTTAATTAAAAGACAATTCTTGCGGAATATTCGTTTATATATTTGTTTTATTTTTAAAATAAAAATTGTATTTTATTGTAATTGGCCGCCATTGTGTATTTTAAATTGTAAACATACACACACAGAGTCCAATTAAATTGTTGTTAATTTAAAGATGTGTGCACCCAGTTGTCTCTATGTAGTTGGAAGGATCCCTTCAAAGAGATAAGCTGGTGTGTGGGATGATTCCAGCACATTAGTTCCCTAGTTCCTGGGATTTTATTATAGACTTGGATTTCTCTCTGGATGTTTACGTTGACCGCTTCCACAGAGTAAGAAGCGTCTGTGATTTCTATTTTAATTTAATATTTACATATATATTTGTAAGACCATGTCAACATAGCTAGAAAATATTGCAGAATAATATTAAATTGATATTGCGGGAGAATGATATTTATTTATAAAAAGTGGCAACTCTTCCTTTTAAAATTGATTAAAGCAATCTATATGGTTTATCATCTCATTATAAAAATTAACGGCGGTGATAAGAAATGAGCTATAACACCAGTTTTGGCAAATTAAGACAAAAAACCAATTAGTATACCATGGTTTCGGGCTTTGTCCCTTATCAGTACAGGGGTAGCTTCGATTTCACGGCATCCTTAAAGGGAAGTTATGAAATCGGTCGAATTGGCCAAAAGTTGCAAGGCAGATTTTCAGGATAGAATACACGATAGAAAAGACCAAAGGTAATAATGAAACACGTCGCGTCTACCTTTGGTCTCTTCCAACAATGGTACCCTGCAATTCCTTCTGTCGTAATAGAATATAATATAAATTTACAACATGTATTTTTAAAAGAAGAGGTGCCCCTTTTGGTACATGAATATGATCCTCCTGCAACTTTATGTGGTATTCTAGCCTTAAATTCGGGCTTGACACTTCACCAGATTGATGTAAATGGACTTAGAGTTACGCAGACGTATAAAAATAATTAAATTGTGTATATATTTATTGATTGGGTTTTGACCAAGACTAGAGTAAACACATTCTATCGAGAGATATGTAAATTTTGATTGTTTAATTTTTGGATTAAATTTGTTTTGTTAAATTGCTTTTATGTAAATATTTTTAAAGAAGGTAAATATAAACTTCTTTTATTTTATAAGTTCTGATATTTTTTATTTTGTTTAAAATAAATGTGTTTATACTATTTTTTTTCTAATAAATTATTTAAGAAGCAAAATAACACAGATTAAACACCTTTTTGACTAATTCGACCGGTTTTATAACCCCTCTCGTAGTATGTTATGAAATCGAAGCTGCTCCTGTACTGACGAGGGCCAAAAATCACGAAACCATGGTATACAAGTTAGCTTTTTGTCAGAATTTTGCAGAAATGGTGTTGTGGCTTATTCCTTATTACCACCATTACGTTTTGTACTGGGATCATAAACCAAATGAATCGTTTTAATGCTTTTTTTAAAGGGAGATATATAAGTACATGTATTTACGTATGATCTCAAACCATAAAGAATTAAATCAGTTGTTTTTATAAAACTGCGGCGTTGAGTTTCTGAACTACTAACACTAATCAAGAAACAAAAATATAGTATAATGCATATGTATATTAATTTATAAAACATATAGATAGGCGTTAGAACTTTATAAAAAAAATTGAAGGACTAGAAAATGTATTCTTTATAGAATTCGCGTCGTAGTTTTTTTATTATATATTACTCTCCTAGTTCCTGGGATTTTATTAGACTCGGATTTCTCTCTGGATGTTTGCGTTGACCGCTTCCACAGAGTAAGAAGCGTCTGTGATTTCTATTTTAATTTAATTTACAGATATATATTTGTAAGACCATGTCAACATATCTAGAAAATAGGTTTTATAGAATTGAATATTTCTTCACAGTTGCTATTGGTTTGTTTCCTAATCTCTACTTTGTAGCCTTATAAAAGCTCAGATTTAGTAAATTATAAACAGAAAATAGTAAATTATATTAATAATATCTATAAAAAAAAAGAGTCTGTGGACGAGTGCGTAACACCCTCGATTCCCGACAGCCATGGACCAGGATTGAATCCCGTATTAACATTTTGTTTAATATGGGAATAACCTTCTCATATTATTCATTGTTGCAATTATCATAAACTAGGTTACTCTTTTTGAGTGGTACCTAATAAAGTGATTTTGGAACAAGATATCTACAACAATAAGATAGAGGGAGAGATTGATTGAATAAACTTTTATTACATCTATATATATAAAATTGAGTGTTTGTATGTTTGTTTGTATGTCCGGTATACAAATTCGCAGTAGTTCACTAATTCAAACCAAAATTTCCATACATAGGTAAAAAAAATACGGGGAAGACGATAGGCTATTTAAAAATATATATAAATCAATTATTAAAACTATATATTTTTAGTCAGAAAATGATGATGACGATATTGTTGTATCATGTTTGATTATCAGATACAAAATTATATCGGGGAAAAAAATCCAAAAAGCAGATACCACGGGTGAAACCAGTTCATTATTTTGTACGCAGAAACAAAATTCTAACAGAAAAACATTCATTCGAGCAGAAAACAAAAGCCAGATCATCTTTCTATAAAAATATCGCTTCTCAGACACAAAGTTTGGAGCGGGACGTTCCACAAGAGTGACATCCACGGCGCCAATTTATAATTGTAACGAATAGTATTTGAATAAAAACATTTAATCGGGTAAAACCCGGGCGTTGCCCGGGTCATTCGGCTAGTTGTTCATAAAAATTTATGGTGACAGATGAAAACTAAAGAAAATAATAATAATAACAAGGATGAATATACATAATAAAATATATACAGGCTTCATTGGTTTAGATCAAGGGCTACAAGACATTCAGGAATCTCAGGAGATCCTCATAGAGCGCGTGAAGGGAATTTTTGAACAAATGAACGCTGATTCATTCCTATCTCCCCTCTATGAGGAGATTTGTGGGTTTGAAGTAGCGTACGCGGTCGTTTACCGCCATGTGACGGAGTTACTCTCCGAGACACTCTCGACAGAAAACAAGAGTGAGAGAGATCTGTCTTTACGGTAAAACCTGATGTATGCATTTAAACGAAGTTCACGCAAAAATATTTTGAATTACTTTAAAATTATACTGTATTATCAATATTAAACATTTAAAAAAAAATGGTCTTATTATATATCTTAATATTGAGAATTTACGTAGAAAATTAAGAAAGACAAACTTTTCAGAATGACATGACAATTTATATGATTCAAAACAAACAAAAAAATACAAAATACAAGAGAGACAATAAGGGAAGTTTACAGAGAGTAGCAAAATATAAATATAAAAATTGATAATCTGTTTAAAATATTTATATTTTGCTAAAATATACAAATTAGCACTTGAGTATGTAGGTTGCGTCCAAAATATCTTCAAGTTGATTTATCATACTGCCTTGAAGTTATGAGCTGAAAACAAAAAAACAGAAATATTCATTGATTATACTGTGTTATTTCATTAAAATATAAAAGGAATATTTTGTTGAAATAAAAATGTAGATGTAAGTAATGAATTTAGTGAATTAGTTTCTTTACGTTAATTCACATTAAACAAATAAATAATAGAAATACATTATTTATATATTATTCATAGATTAGCATTTAATTTTTTAATGTAAAAATTTAATGAAGTTTTTAAGACTGGCTAATGTACGTTGAACGGGCTAATGTCTTAAAGTATTATATAAATATTTTAAAATTCTCTCTCTTTATATATATTTTGGTTACCTCTTTAAAAATAAAATTGAAGTCGAAAATCTTTCTGAAAATGTTTCAATTCATAGAATGTCTATTTCTATTTCTTTCGACATATTTTTAAAAATCTAATTCTTTTTTTTTTTATATTACGACATGCTGAGCGCCTGTCTTTATCAATATATATTGTAACAAAGTATTTATTATTTTATTAGCAGAGTATTATTTTTTATGTTTATATTTTGCTACTCTGTACATTTCCCTCCTTTGCTTATCTTTTGTTTATCACTCATAGTTTGTTCTTTTCTTAAATAAATTGTTGTCTCATCCCGAAGTTGGTCTTTCCTAATTTTCCACGTGGCAATATATTTTCTACATATTTTTTTTTCACATATATACAATATTAATAAACTATGTCAAAATATAATCAACGGATAAGATCCAGGAAGTTACCTATATGTTACTCAAAATGTATATTTTGAAAATATTTTTAAATTAACAAAAAACACATTTATTAAAATCAAAATTAATAATTAAAAATAGTGAAAAAATCTTTTCGCATCGAACCTGCAGCAATATAGTCTTTATGTTTACCTGTGTATAATCACCTTATATGTAATTTGTGAATATTGAATATGTATATTTGGTTTACTCTCTCTCTCTACCCGCGTATTGTGCCAATTGATTGTATATATACTTATGTTTTTTTTTACGTATACCACTGTAATATGCAACTTATAATAATCAATTTTTAGATAATAAAGATTTAAATATGAATAGCTCTATTTTCAGAACAATAAATAATTTATAAATTTTAAGAGTGTGTACATATTGCATATTCTTCTCTGTGTACTTTATGTGTATGTTCATATATTCTTTCTTTTTTTATTATCGTATTTATATTTTAAACTCACTGTATATGAGCCTTGTGCTTACTGTATTGTTTTTTTTATACTTATCTCACTGTAATATGCATTTATAATAAATAATTTATTAATTTTAGGAGTATATGTAATTTACATCATTCGCTATATATTTACTCTGTGATAACTTGGATATATATTTATGACTTCATATGTTTTGTACTAAGCGAATATACATCGTACATACTTTTAATTTACACACATACCTTTTGTGTTTACTGCCTTTTTACTCTATTTTCACTATTTATATAATTTGCATTTACTGTTTAAGTACCTAAGCCATTTTCATATACTTTAGACTGAATTTTATATGTACCTCATACTCGCAATGTATAGCTAATTTATATATATATACTCAATTATAGATGGAAATTTTGTCGGGGGGGAAATTGATTTAAAGAAACAAGGGTCGCCTCTCCCGTCAAAATACACGTCTAAAATCAGACGCCATCTATTGACCGTCGCCGCAACTAGCGGCCTCGGGTCGGTGACAAAGCCATAACACCAGCTTTGGCAAACTGAAAAGCGTCCACCTAGAGACCATGGTTTCGGGCTAATGGCCCTCGTCAGTCTAGGGCGGACTTTATTCCATAAGATCCACACGGGATCTAATGGAATCTTGACAAATCTGCCAAAGAGGTGTTTAGCTGGCAAAGTGGCTGGGTCATATCTATGGCTAAAATATAGATGGAAATTTTGTCGGGAGGAAATTGTTCTAAAGAAACAAGGGTTGCCTCTCCCTTCAAAATAGATGGCGTCTGGTTTTAAACGTTTATTTTGACGGGAGAGGCGACCCTTGTTTCTTTATATACTCAATTATTTTAAAATTAAACATATTTCACTCGTACATTAGCCCATTCGACTGCTGGGTAGTTATAGAGGACATGGTTTGCTCTTCTTCTTGACATTGTAGACAGGCTGTATCAGGACTTTTTTTTCTTTCTTGTGGCCATATCGGCTTGAACACATCCGTGATAAAAGAGTTGTGGTTGATATTTCTAGGTGTGTATTTTCCTGAGGTTCTTCTTAAGATGGCCAGGAGTGGGTGAACATTTTCTCAGATATCGGTTTGACTGGTCATTGGTGTACTTTTTGGCTCTTAGTTGGCAAATTATATTGCCACGTGGAAAAAAATAGGGAAGACCAACTTCGGGATGAGACAGCAATTTATTTCAGGTAAGAACAAATTATGAGTGATAAACAAAAGATAAGCAAAGAGGGAAGTTTACAGAGTAGTAAAGTATAAACATCAAAAATGCTACTCTGTTAATAAAATAATACATACTTTGCGACATATATACTACGTTTTATTCTCCAATTTCTTTGTAAGCTCTGTAAAATATAGAGAGATGTCGTATTTATCAGCCATTTTGGTAACCTGGTCAATACGTTCATTTCCTTCAATACCTTTGTGGATGTTTTTCATTTGTTGAAAGGCCCCTTGTTGTTAATTTTTGATTGAGGAATTGGAGCATTTCGATATAAAATATATTTATGTAATATTATAAAGAATATTGTCTAATAAATAATTATGTACCATGTTGGATATAATGTATTCTGTATGGATTCAAATAAAGATGGCAGTCAAAGGAAGAGGAGATGGAAGAAGTAGAAGAGAAAAGAACGACAGATCCAAGTCGTGTATCTAGGTCACTTAGAACAAAGAGGCCCTCATATTCCAGAGTTGAATGTCCTGAGAGATTGGGATGTTAGGCAAAGCTTCTTCCCGACCAAATTTACCATCATGGCCGACAGAGACAGGGACCAATCAAAGGTCAAGCAGGGTCCCACATGACCCAAGCCAGGGGGCGGGGCAACCAGAGTTCGGTCGGTAACGTGTGTGTCAAGACGTGTGTGTGCATCTTCTAAAAGTAGTGCCTCGAGGTCCAAGATGTGAGTCATCTCAATCCAATTTAATCGCGAAAATCCTTCCATCTCCTCTCCCGAGCCGCCAATGATTAATATTCCGAGGTGTTTTGTGATTCATTAATCGATATAGTGTGCCGATTTTTTCATCCACCGCCATTGATAACGACTGCCCAAACATACAAAACCCCATCCACTCCCGAGGATTCTCAGGACAAAGCACTTTAATATAGAGAGTCGACAAGATTCTCAGGATCCTTTTCCCTTATACCACAGAGAGTCGACAGGATGGACGAGAAAAACGAAACGCAAGACGCGGAGGAATACACCGCAGAGGGAGAAAACAACCCCGCCGTAAGTTCTCCCAAAATAGAACCCCCCCCTCCGTCGGCAGAGTTGCCGGCCGTCTTGGCACGCCTCGCGGCGTGTTTATCTGCCCTTCAGACCACCAGCGACCGCGTGACCCATCGGACGGAGATAGAAGTCCAGAGCTTCGACGGGACCTACCCAGCCGCACAGTTCTTTCGGACATATGACCAGAAAACAGACTGGGATGGTCTCACCAACACGGAAAAAGTGCTCCGCCTACCCCGTTACCTGAACAACAAACCGCTAGAACACTTCAGGAGGCTTCGGATGGAGACCCAACATTACATCCAGGTGAGACAGACCTTCCTGGATCTCTATCCGGAGACCAATGAGGCCACGTATGCCCAATACTTCTCCATGAAGCTGGCCGGACAGCCCAACCTGGAAGAATACTATCGGAATAAGACCGCGCTGGGTCTACAACTGGGCCTCCCACAAGAGGTCATCTTGGAGACGCTCACCGAGGGGCTGCCACCCTCCGACCAGCGCCTCGTCCGCATTGTGCCGCCAGAGAACCTAGGTGCATGGTTCCGGCTGGTGCAGCGGATCCGCGGCAGCGGCGCACCATCTCCAAGGCACCCAGACGAGCACGCACCACCCCTACTGGGCCCCTACGCACCGGTGCGACCTAGTCCAAGAACAGTGCCAACCAGGTCGACCCCGCCAACAGACTGCCGTTTTTGTGGTGGACTACACTGGCACTCTGAGTGTCGTCTCAGACAAGCCCCGCAGTTGCCCCGTGCCTCCGGAGACGCACGAGCAGCGCGCTCCGCGCAACTAGCGGAACAACGGCCGCGAGCCCAGCCCCATCACCAAGCGTCACGCGCACAAGCCACTGGGATAACCAAGGGAGCCCCAGACCAGCAGCCAGCAGGTAGGCCTACTGACCAGGCCTTTCGTCAACCTGACAATTAGATTGCCAATCTCCCATGGACTGTCCCTACCATTCCTGATAGACACGGGTGCGTCCGTTAACCTAGTGTCATGTGCCATATATAAAAATTTAAAGAATAATTTCCCTGACCTAAATTTAATAACTAAAAAAATAATAAATTTACAGACAATAGATGGCCACGTGCCAACAATAGGCCAGATTACCTTCCCCCTATCCATTCATGCCATAACCCAAAACGAAGTATTCCACGTGGTGGACGCCCCTCTACCATTTGGAATACTTGGTATTAATACCCTCCGTAAATTCAAATTAAAAATCGATTTTGCACATGGCACTATGTACCAACTCGATGCACCTTTGTCGCCCCTGACCTACCACTTTGCTGTGTTGCCCGAAAGGTGCACATATTGGGAATGCCAGGCGGACCTATGCAAGGCCCACACTATTTTTCCGCCTTCCGCCAACAATACCCAATATGCGCCTTTTTCGGACAACACGTCCACAACCCAGGGACTCACCCAACCACCGCACCATGTCCAATCAAAGAACTTTTTTAGAGCCAACTGCTCTTATTATAGGGTCAAGGTACCAGAACAACCACCCAATGCCAACCTCTCACACCCCACCAAGGTCCAAACGGACCACCTTCACCATACACCCAAACATCCCCATTCCACACACCATTCCATGTACCACACACACCACCCAACATCACCAGAACACCTCCCAGGGATCCCCATAGACAATCAACCGCAGCCACCGTATCCACCTCAATTCCCGGCGCTATTGCGCCAATACCAACACGTGTTCTCCCGGAACAAATTCGCGGTCCCATGCCTAAAGGTTCCCCCAGTAAGAATCGCCACCAACTCCGACAAAGTCGTCACCATCCGCCCATATAGGGTACCGATATGCGACCAACGGGAAATACGCAGTCAGATCCGACAGATGTTGGATAATGACATCATTGAGCCGTCCTACTCCCCTTTCTCTAGCCCGGTCACCCTAGTGACCAAGCGAGACAAGACCAAAAGGTTTTGTATCGACTATAGGAAGGTGAACGAGGTCATAAGCTCCGATGTCCATCCACTCCCGAGGATCGAAGATATACTGGACCGTCTCGCGCGGGCCAAGTATTTCTCGACTGCCGACGTCTCCTCCGCATATTGGCAAGTGCCGATACACCCTGATTCTCGACCACTGTTGGCCTTCGCCACGATAGACGGGTTGTATCAGCCCACCCGATTGCCTTTCGGACTTAAGACCAGTCCACAGATCTATGAAAGGGCAATCAATCAGGTCCTGCAGGGGCACGGACTTGATTGTGTGGCGCACTATTTTGACGACTTTGTCATATATTCGGAGACACTGGAGGAACACCAAGAACACCTGCGCAGGTTTTTCGCGTTCTGCGACGCGGAGAACTTGCAACTCAACCTCACCAAATGCGAGTTTTTTAGGCAGACCATCGAATTTCTGGGGTACACAATCACCGCTGGTACCACCACCCCACTTATCCGCAATACCGACGTAATCCACGCTATCCCACCCCCGAACAATCGCAAAACGCTGCAATCCTTCTTAGGCGCCGTGAACGTCTATAATAAGTTCATCCCGGACTATGCCCGTTTGCGGACCCCACTCAACAACCTTCTCAAGAAGGATGTGACGTGGGACTGGGATGACAAATGCCAAAAGGCGTTCACCAGCCTGAAGGAAAGCCTCACACAACACCCCGTATTGCACCTCTACAAGGATGAACTACCATGCCAGGTATATTGCGATGCATCAACACTTGGCATTGCAGGCGTCCTCAAACAAGTCCACTCCGCTGGGAAGGCCTACCCAGTCCAATATTTCAGCCGCGCTCTGCGTGTACACGAGCGGAACTACACCATCTCCGAACTAGAATGCCTCGCCATTGTCGAGAGCGTGGAGAAGTTCCGTGTGTATCTAATGGGCAGAAAATTCACCATATTTTCTGACCATCACGCACTGCAGTGGCTGAAGACGATCAAAAACCCGTCAGGCAGATTATTCCGATGGAGTTTGAGGTTATCGTGTTACGAATACGAAGTCCGCTACATAAAAGGATCACTACAACATGAAGCGGACCTCCTATCCCGTAACCCGTTTTGTGGATTCTTAGACGCCACCATCATTAAGAACCACCAACTCACTCCTTCGGGAGAATCTAAACTGACCATTGATCGAAACGGACTGCAAACCCTAAAGCGTAGAGGTGTAACCAAAATTGTCGTCCCTGACGCCCTCGTTCCCGACCTACTAACAAAGGTGCACAGTCGGTACAACCACCCGGGCATATCCCAGATGACCAGGCTCATCTCTACCCAGTACTACTGGAAGGGGATGTGAGAAGACATCTCCAAAACCACCAAAGCCTGCGCCATCTGTCAGTCAACAAAACCCCCTCGAGGTCCCACGTTTGGGGAACTAGGACAACTTCCTGTGGCCACTCAGCCTTTTGATCTGGTCGCCCTCGACACCATAGCTGGACTTGCCAAATATGGTAACGCCAAAGCTTACCTCCACGTTGTGGTGGATCACTTTTCGCGCTACACGTGGACCTTCCCCTCAAAATCTACCAGCCTCACCACCTATCAACAGGTGATAAAGCGAGTGTTGCAGGACGGCTCTCCGAAACGCCTACTCACGGATAGAGCGCCTGCGTTCACCTCATCAAAGTTCAGGAAGTTCCTGATTAACAGGAACATCCATCCCCTGCTCACCACCAGTAACAACCCCCAAGCTAATGGTCTATGCGAGCGCCTGAACGCTACCTTAACAGGCAAACTAAGGTTACTCCATTTGGAAAACCCCAAAGCCGCATGGACTAAGCTGGCGAAGCGCGTTACTGTGGTGTATAACAACACGCCCCACTCAGTTACCGGGTTCCCACCTGGCTACCTGATGTTCGGCGTTCTACCTCCCGAGCTCACTGAGCATGTAAACCCCTACCCCGTTTTAACCACAGCCCGACGGATAGCCCATGAACGTACCCAGGCCAAGCACCTCAAAGACAAACATGCCTACGACCAACAACATAAGACACCCCATTTTGAACCCGGAGATCTCGTGTTGGTAAAAGTTTACCATCACCCCAATACAGGCAAACTGGCTCCGTATTTCACGGGTCCCTACGAGATCTTAGAGATCATCTCTCCCAACGTGGTGAGAATAAACCGACCCAACCAACCTCTAAATCGGAATACCGACACAGTCCATGTAAATAAATTACAGTACTATAACGAAAATATTCGTTATATCGCACCTCCCACTCTGATACCACACCCTGCTAAACCCCAATCTAGGACGCTACCACCACTGTTCGAGCACCTCACCCCAGACCTCTTTACAGTTGAGCGCTTTGCTCCTACAATAGGCAATTGTACCACTACCACCCCTGTTGACCCACAATGTAACATTATCGCCCAACGCGATATTCCCCAACCTGCAATATCCCGTCCAACCCATATAACCAAAGTTAAAACCCCAATCCCTACAGTTAGGGCTGATCCCAAACCAATTCCCTTACAGACAAGGTTTTTGCGTAACGTGAAAACCTTCCCCTTGTTCCACCTCCTATACCTCATCAACCTTTTCATCCTACCCACTGTACTATTACCCATGGCCACCCTACTGTATGTCAGTGTCTATACACTGCAGCCCAACCGTCTCTTCCAACTACAGGAAGCCCTATTCGAAATAACCATCGCCGTAGTGGAACTAATCCATCGAACCATAGGAATAATTCTCCCGGAGTTATGGACCATCCTTGTCCACAGTCATGCCTTGGTCGCTCTAATAGGTGAAATCATAGGAGAGATTTTCCAAACCCTCTTTAGAGCGCGCCAAGTCGAATAGCAATCTCCCCACCTTTACACACACTCGTCGATCACCCCGCTGTCAGCTGGCGTCCACTTTACAGAAACCTTCCGCCGCGCCGACGTCACGTCCTTTCCGATCACGTGACCGACGTCACATCCTCCCTGCGGAATGTAAACAAACCCGCCGTCACTTTTCGCGTGTCAACACACTTAAAGTTACTTTCTGGAACATACACTCACACACACTCGCATACATTCACCCACCTATATAGTTTTGGCAACCTTATGACCTACGACCCTATAATAAACAAAGATTGGACATTGTTATGTAAAAAAAAAAAATATTCTTCTTTTGTGTATATTTTTGTTAACCAATTTTAAAGGACTTGTACACAACCAGCACTTTTATTTTTTTTATTTTTATTTTTTTTATTCCCACCATCCATGTCTATCACCCTTTCAATTTCTTAATCACCTCAAGTTTATTTTTTTTCCTTTTATTGTTTAAACCTTGTTTTGTCCTAACTGAATGAACAACTGACCTGGCGCAATACTTCTCATGTATCAGCCTTCAGTTATCATACAGGAGCTTTGATTTCTTTTTTTTATGTTTTGTTTATATTTTTTCACCGCCCCAAAGGCTAATCAGATTTCTTTTTCTTTTTTTCCCTCCATCACCAAAATTTATTGTCTATAGTTTTCTTTTTATTTCTGTTAATGTCTTATATGTTTTGTTTGGATTGCACCTCATAGAGTTTCCCTTGCTGTGGGTTTCCACACAGCAAGATTGAACACCTATGCAGGCAAGATTTTTTTTTTTTTCCTCCCAAAAATTATCATATTTTTTCCTAGTTTAGCAAGCACCCCTATCTACTCAAATTTCTTTTTATTACTTATTTCCATCATTTACTTTCTCCCCAATTGTATCTAACCACTCACTATTTTAAAAAATTTTTTAATTTTTTTTCTTTCCCAAAAAAATTATTTTTCTTTTTTCAGAATTTAATACAGATCCCTTTTAAAATTCTTATTCATAGGGGGCGCATCTGTAATATTATAAAGAATATTGTCTAATAAATAATTATGTACCATGTTGGATATAATGTATTCTGTATGGATTCAAATAAAGATGGCAGTCAAAGGAAGAGGAGATGGAAGAAGTAGAAGAGAAAAGAACGACAGATCCAAGTCGTGTATCTAGGTCACTTAGAACAAAGAGGCCCTCATATTCCAGAGTTGAATGTCCTGAGAGATTGGGATGTTAGGCAAAGCTTCTTCCCGACCAAATTTACCATCATGGCCGACAGAGACAGGGACCAATCAAAGGTCAAGCAGGGTCCCACATGACCCAAGCCAGGGGGCGGGGCAACCAGAGTTCGGTCGGTAACGTGTGTGTCAAGACGTGTGTGTGCATCTTCTAAAAGTAGTGCCTCGAGGTCCAAGATGTGAGTCATCTCAATCCAATTTAATCGCGAAAATCCTTCCATCTCCTCTCCCGAGCCGCCAATGATTAATATTCCGAGGTGTTTTGTGATTCATTAATCGATATAGTGTGCCGATTTTTTCATCCACCGCCATTGATAACGACTGCCCAAACATACAAAACCCCATCCACTCCCGAGGATTCTCAGGACAAAGCACTTTAATATAGAGAGTCGACAAGATTCTCAGGATCCTTTTCCCTTATACCACATTTATTGGCTTTTTATACGTAACACATTATAAAAGTAAGAAATGCGTTTTTTTTTCTTAAAAAAAAAAAAAAACGTATATATCCGTATATATAAACGTTATAAAAGTAAGAAATGCGTGGGGGGTCGGAGGAAGGCTGGTTAAACCGTTTGGTTTACGACCACTACGACCCGGGTTCGATTCCCGCATTGGACACTTTTTTCTGTTAAAAAAAAAAAAAAAATGCTCCAATGGCCCCCCGATTCTTGCAAAAGTCCAACCCCACCAGCGAGTGCAAGTAACCAAACGGGGCTCTGGCACATTTGTAAGTGCAAAGTCGATCTGCTTTCACATGTGTAGACATGTGGTGCGCTTACAGTAAAAAAAAAAAAAAGCAGTCGCTAACTACCCACCATGATTATCATGGCCTGTACCACGTGTACTAGGGATAAGCAAAAAAAAAAGAAGAAATGCGTTAGATGCATGATTAAATGCAAAAGATTATATATCTAAATACAAAATGTTATTTAAAAATTAAAAGCCATCCTTTGTTCTTAAAATAAAACATTGTTCTTCATGGTTTTTATTGATGTTCTTTTTTTTTTCACAGACATTATACCTTCAGGTCTTTGATATCTCATTGCGCAAACATCCAAAGTGGTGTGTGTAAAATAATAATAATAATATAATACACGTCCTGCGTCGAAATATATTACATAATCAATGAAAAAGTAAAACATATATTATTTGTAAGATAATTAAAAATAATATAATTTTATTTTTATAAAAAAAAGCTATAGGAAACGCCATATTAAACTGTAATTAACTTTACTTGAGAGAAAATTTAAATGCATTAATTTATTTAAAGTAACATTTAAAATACAATATAACGCGGCTGATGATTGTAAAACGAAAATTGAAATTATACCGCGAATGTTTCTTTTATAAAAATCGAAATTTATTTTCAAAGAGAAATAGCGACATTTCTAACTTTGAGGATGAGGTATGGAAAGGTGAAACATGAAGAGTAATTTATTGCTTGATTAAAACGAATATACATTTTTATTTTATATGACATATCGGACGCCTAGCTCGAGATACTTGCGCCTAAATACATTTTAGTAGATTATATACAATACATTTTATACAATTTAATAACCGGACTAAAAACATAATTGAAACTTAAACGATGGTATTCTAAAACAGAAGAGAAAATCTAAAATGGATTATTTTAGCAACCTATATACAATCCATTATATACAACTCAATAACCGACTAAAAACACAATTAAAACTAAAACGATGGTTTTCTCAAACAGAAGAGAAAATCCAAAATGAACTTACAAAAATTATTCAATTTTACATAAGTGTCTTTGTTATATACAAATTCGCAAATTTCTTCAATGGGATAAAAATGATTACTTCGGTAGCTGTGAAATATAGGACATTCTAATAATAAATGTATTGAGTCTTGGTTTTCTTTTCCACAGAAGCAGCTAGGATCATCCGTTGCCCCGATTTTCGACAGAAATTCTCCAAAATTACCACGATTTGTGAGGAACTGAGTTATAAAAATTCGGATGAAAATAAAAAGGAATTCCAAATGGGAAAAATTTTCGGAATGTTTCATTAGTGTTAGCTATTGTTTCAGCCATTCTTGATTCTATGAAGTTATGAATTATAGTTGGGGCATGCGGTCTGAATACATTAATTTCTTCTTTTGAAAAATTGGCCAATTCGTATTTTATTATCAACGATTCTATGTGATCTGTGAGAATAGGTATTTTTGCCAAACTCTATGAATACAATTTAATGAGGTCGTTTTATAGGCTCTCACTACCCAAAGAAGAATCTGATATTGCTGAGAGTTTAATCTTTGCTTACTTCTTTTATTAATAAATTTATGCCATATTTCAGATCCATAGGTTAGTATTGGTCTGAAAAGAGTTTTATATAAAACAGAGTGAAAATAACAGATTTTTCATACGGTTGGTTTTACAAAGAATATCATTAATGTGGGGTGTGAAGTTAATTTTTGACTTAATTCTGTGATTAGAAAATTTTATACCTAAAATTTTTACTTCTTCCACCGGTTTTATTATGAAGTTTGGAGTTCCCATTGGAATCTTTTGTTTGCCGTGCATATGTATTAAGCCGGTTTTCTCCGGGTTTAGCTTTAGCTTATTTCTTGTACACCATTGTATTACATAATTTAAAGTATTTTCTGTTTCATTTTTAACCCTTCTATGGTATTGTGCCAGCAAACAATGGAAACATCATCCGCATAACAGATTAATTCAGAATTTGAGGATACGAAGTTGATCAACAAATCATTCAGCAGTATATTCACAATAAAGGTGATAATGGTCTAACTTGAGGACATCCCTTTGATAAATATTTTGAAATTGTAGTATTCGAGAAGGTGAGACTTGTTTTTCTTCTCCGATTTAAAAATGATTGGATGATTTTTATAAGAACTGCTGGGACGTGGTCTTCATCCATTCTTTTTATTAAGGCAGGCCACCACGCATTATCAAACGCACCACTTATATCAATAGTAATCAATGCAACCAATTCGTTTTGTTTGTGTTTCAGTATGGTCTCGGTTATTTTGTCCATTGCCGTTATTGTAGATTTTATTTTCGTAAATCCATGTTGTCTATGGCTCAGTAAGTTATTATGATTATAATAATCGAGTATTTTATTTTTAATGATCGTTTCAAATATTTTTGAGAAATTTGATGTCAGTGAAATTGGGCGATAGCTATTAATTGATTCGTAGTTAGCTTTTTGCGGTTTCGTAATAATTTTAATACCGAATGTTTCCAGCTTTCAGGATAGTAATTTAGCAATAAACACTTATTAAAGAGTTTGACTAAACTGGGTAGGGGAGGATTGATAATAATGAGTGCTTAATCATATTATTACTCACGTTATCTGGACCAGGAGCCTTTCTGATATTAAGATTTGAGAGCACAAATCCTTTATTTCCTTTTCAGTAATAAAAATGATTTCGCTGTTGGTAAAACTTGGGATGTGATTTCTAATTGAAGTGTGTTCTTCATTGTCCAACCGCACATCATCATCAGGAAAAAATTCTGTTAGCATTTCCTTCATCTTTTGCTCTCTCATGCACGCTGCAGTTTTATTCAGTAATGGTATGCCCACTTGAATGTCGGCCGATCTTAACCGTAAGACTCATTTTCTTCAATAAATATTTTCCACGACGTCTTTTTTGCTCTATTAATGGCTCTTAAGTATTTATTTCTTGCCGCTCTGAAAATACTCGGATTCAGGTTACCCCCTCTATAATACAAATTACTGAGATAATGTAAATGTTCCTTTAATTGTTCAAGCTCTTTATACCACCAATTTTTGGAAGTTGTCGCGTTTATAGAGGTGTGATGCATGACGTCGAGAGAAGAGTATGCAGCTTCAATGACTAAATTTGTCAATTTATTTACCACATTATTAATATCTTCACAATTGACAATGTGTTTAGAAGCTGAATTTAAATCCAGTAAATCCGAAGGCGAAATACCCTCAGCAAATTTAGTCCAATTCGCCGATTTTTCTATGAATCTCCATGTCGATGTCTGTCTATTATTGTTTGCCAAGTTCATCATATTGAAGATATCAAAAAGTATTGCCAAATGGTCTGAGGTAACAGAAAGTTCTGAGGTTGTCCAGTTATGTATTAGACTAATGGAATGTTTATTAGAAATTGTCAAGTCGATTATGCTAGCATTTCTGCAAGTTGGGATTTTAAGATTATGAACAAATAGATTCTGCTCCTCAATAATAGACTTTAGAATGAGTTCGTGAGTTTAGAATGAGTTAGTTCATGAGAATGAGAATGTTCAAGTTTAAATTAAATTTAAAAAGTATATTTATATTAAAGTTTAAAATATTAATGATATAGTCTCTCGTTAATAATTTATATTTGAAAATCGAGAGATATAAATAAATATTAAAAAAACGAAAATATTGTTATTAAAAAAAAAGAGTAAAATGTTTTCTTGAAAGTGCAAAACCTATATATCTATGATTATATTTGAAAATATTAATAGATTATGTGCTGAGAACATGTAAGAAAACATGTACCTATGTTTTCCCACGTGACGCAGCGGAGCGTGACCTTGCCTGCACGGGTGAGTCAGTTGTTGTTTTGTACTCTGTATGGATGGACATTAAAACAGATTATATATCTGAAAATTCGAAACTATTATAGACGCGTATGGTTCTTTTGAAAATTAAACAATATCTACTGCCCTTACTGCAATGGAAAAATTAATGCGAGGGCCTGGCTCATCAGTGGTGAACCCTCCCAGTGGTTTTACCAGTTAAATTTATATTTATCTTGAATTGAAATTTTTTTGACCTATATTTCCAATGAGGTTTAAGATATAAAAATACATTTTAAAATTTCTTCCTCATTTGAGATAATGAACAATTTCTTCAAAATTTAAGTTTCAAAAGGTTTTCAAGTTGAATCGTATGTATCACACAATCACACCGTATTTATAGAAATATATTATATGAACATATTTATTGCTATTATAAATATTAACCCTACCAATTTATTTTAATATATAAGAAAATATTAAAAACAAAGAAGGCATATCCTGACCACGAGCACTAGCTTTTTAGATGGCAGAGCGCCATCTAGTGGAACAGAAATAAATAAAAAAAATGGCGCTCTGCCATCTAAAAAGCACATGTGCTCGTGGTCAGGATATGCCTTCTTTGTTTTTAATATCAACACCTGACCTTTTTATTATTTTTTTTTATTATTTTTTCACATAATAAAATATATGCATGCCGTTATATGAAACAAATTAAATACAGTTTTGTATAACATACAAACCTTTTTATTAAGGATTTTTAATTATTTATATATTATAGCAATATATAAGTGATAAGTAAAACATAGGCCTTTCATTAAAATATATATAGACAAGGCGTATATTAAAGGCGATACAAAGAGAGGCAGGTGATATATTGTGAGTCGTTATAAGAAAAAGCTTGCTGTAGATACTTATTGTTTTTTATAAGATGTTCGAAAATCCGTCGAAGATAAAGGCAGGGCGTCTCCCCATTATCAGAATGTGGTGAGAGGATTTTGGACTTATCCGCCATTCCATCGAAGCCACAAAAGAAGAGACTCCACCACGCCTAATGGACGAATTCCGTGAGTCTTCTGCTTTAAATTATTTCGTCTGTTTAATAATTCAGTAATGGCCACCCCTTCTGTTGACACCACTTTTTTTTTACAAAACTTCACAAAATTTCTTGTGTTAAAAAAAAAAATAAAACTTTGAAACGACGTTAAGTGGAGTAGAAAAATGAGAAATTTAATCACATCCACTTTAATTTTGATTTGCTCAAGAGAGATTTAATAATATATATATTTAACAGTTTATTTAAAAAATAATTTAATATATTTTGAATAAATATATAGTCATATATATTTATTATAAGATATATTTCCTTTATTAATATATATACTCTTTGGCGAATATTATCTATGTGTAAAAGAGGGTAAAATAATGCAAGCCAAATTATTTCATTTTTCTTTTGAAACGAATTTTAAAATGAATATAATAGCATTTTAATTTCAAATAAAACCATTTCAATTTTATTTTTTCCTAATATTTCTATTTCAAACTTTTCCGAGGTAATTTTATTTTAATAAATGCATATTTTATAATACCATATAATTTTCCAATGTCGTTTTACAAATGCATATTTAAATAATCATATTTTAAAAATAAACTTTATTATAAACAATGATAATATTACACTATAATTCTAATTAAGATAGAAGGAAAACTAATAATTTATATTTGTTATTGAATATATAATTGTAAAGATTTAATACATAAGTGTCTGTGTGTGTTTTACACTTTCAAGTCAAGTTTTTTTTATGTTTAGTTGCAAAATATCTAAATTCAGTGTAGCAACGATTTAAAATTCAACAGTTAAATTTATAGATAGAGCTTCTTTATAAGAATGTTTAAAATTCAGTATAAGCATATTATAGATAATATAAATAGGATCATTAATATTTATTTATTTTTCCAATTTCCAATATTTAATTATTTAAAATTTAATTAAAATAATAAAGTCTTTATAAAGCTTATTCCATATGGAAGTTGTGATTACTGCTTATAAATCTTATTAATTCTGGCATAGTTCTGACATGTTTTGATCAAGGATTTCCTTGGCGTCTTGACAGTTTGCTTTCAATAGCTCAACAGAATATATATAAATCAGCGTTTAGTTGACATTTTTTCCGGTAGATGGCGTTCTGCCATATAGTACGCTTATTTGAGCGGTCAGGATAAGGCTATTTTATGCATATATATATAAATTTATTATATAATCGATATTATTTATTATTTATATTAGAATATATATACGTAAAAAGAATAAAACAAGAATGGGAAATTTTGGGGCAGAAGAACTAAACAACAATAGCAGAGGTAGAAATTTCAATTTTCAAACAAAAATGTTGCCAGGCGGTGGTTATAAGAAGTTTTGCCCCGG